TCTTCAGAAGGTGCGCTGGTCCAGTGGTGGGACGCGTTTCCATGGAGAGTCTGATGGCAGCATTGGGGTGGGGCACTCGGGTGACAGGAAGTGAGAAAAGGGAGGTAAGAGCCCAAATCCTTATGAAGGATGACATTCAGTTGTTAAATTTTAAGGGATATCCGATGGCTTTTTCCAGGCACTCAACTAATGAGCCAGCGGAAAGAAAATCCCTCTCTACTTCCACAAACTTGATGTAGATAGATTTGGGGGAGACGCCAGGATCCACAATGCAGTTCTGAGACAGAAACCCATTAATACCAACCCAATCTTTGCTGAAGGTTTTGGTATTGGCTTGGAAGTGTAAAAATAAGCATTGCTGCAGAGTCCTGACCTCAGCAATCCCGAGGTAGCAGTAAACGATTCGGGTGGGTTCTATTTCCACCTGCAATGAGGCTTGTGCCGAAAGGGTCTCCAAGTCAACCCTGCCCTCCTTTCCTGGGTCCAGGGAACTCTGCTCCATGCGGGGTGAGGAGGGCCTTTCCATACATTCTTCATAGCCAATGGCATAAAGGCCCGGGCTTTTGGGAATGCCTCCTGGCAATAAATACTGAACAACGTTCCCACCGGTTGGTTTGGAGTGGGCAATGGGTATCCAGTCAATTTCCATGTGTAGCTCCAGACACCTCGCTTCACTAATCGTGATCTCTAAAAATTTGTAGTAAACGTTTTTCCAGTTCATCTTCTGCACTCGGGTCATAATGATCCGCCCCTCGGGCTTCTCGGAGTTGAAGTACTCCCGGAGCCGTTTGCCGAGCGGCACCTGGGAGCTGATCTCAGCATAATGGTAGCGGATATCCTCTTTCCAACGGGTGTTATAACCAATCCCAAAAATGGCCAGTTTGTTAGAGAGATGAAGCCTTGAAAAGTCTGTCCAGCTCTGAAACAGTTCCCATTTCAACTGCACTGATTCCAAAATCTGGACAATATTCTGCATGATGTCTCTCTTCCTAGAAAGAGAAATAAATGTGAAATTCCTCGGGTGTCTAGATCAGCACTCTCCACCAGAACTTTCCTCAACAGTGGAGATATTCTACACCTGTGCTGTCCAATATGGCAGCCATTAGCCCTTAAAACCTGGCTAGGGTGAGTGAGGCAGTTTTAGTTACAATGTGAAACAACAGTTACATAAACACATGTGACCAGGGCCTCCATAACGGACAGGGCAGGTCTAAGGAAGCACAGTGTTACAAGCTGAGAAACACTCTTCACTGGGAAGTTTCTAGGAATGAATGACAAACTGCTTTCCATGACTTATCTGGGCTGGCTGTACCGATCTGAGCAACTATTGATACGTAGGCCCTAGGACTTTGAAAACCCAAGGGCCAGGAATTTCAAGGGGCTATTACAATGCTCCCCACGGCCTTCAGCCTTATCACCAAAGGCAAGTGAAGAATGGTGTATTCAGAAAGGCATCCAGTAACACGGAAAACAATGAACATCTTAATTTCTGAGCTGGAAATTCTAAAAGTTCAACAAGTTTGGCCCATACATGTTTACTGTACAAAAATAGACAACTGATTATGAGTAATGGCCTGGGGCAAAAAGAAAACATTTTCTTCTATTTGTCTGAAATTCATTACTGCTCCCAAATTTAAAAGAACTGTTGTACAAAACAGAATTAGGATTTGAGAATTAAGAAGAAAAAAGTTCATGTTAGGTTTGGCTTTTGAGATAAAAATTCAAGAAAATGAATTGAGATTGTTCTAGAAAATATTTTAAAGAGGGAAAGAAAAATTTCAATTTTGATTTGGACAGTTAACAAGGTTAAGACAGAAAATGCAGGAAATTCTTTTTGCACACACTGGATCCATGTTTGTGTGTCTGTGTATATATACACACACATGAAATATATATACACAGACACATACACAGGCATATAAATATATATAAAATTACAAGTCTGTCCTCAAGTATGGCAGAACTTTGATACTAGAAGACTGATGTTTGTTAAACATGAACTTAGCGACAAGCTATTACCCTCTACATCAATCACAGACTTCAGCTACAAAAATACTCAACTACCAAACACAAGCAAGAAAGAGGGTGTGCTTGCTGGTTTACTAAGGCTGCTTGGGAGGAAATGGACCCTGGAACCTTCCTATGCAGTTCCCTGATCTGGGGGAAAGCTCCTGGAACAAACTGGGGAATCTTCCCTGCAGTCATTCTCAGTCTGGCCTCCTTGACTTGCTTTGCAAGATGACAGATGACAAATTTTGCTCTCAGCTGCTTCCTGGGGCCAAACACCACTCCGGATTTACCCCCACCCTTCAGTCTGTCTCCAAAGCTTCCCGAGTGTCAGAGTGGCCATCCACATGAAACACTGTGTTCCTGAGGACTTGTCCCTCTTCTCAGAGGACACAAAGGCACTTGATCACTTTTCTAATATTAAGACTATGCTGCTTATGAGGTTGAGATAGAGGACCATGCACCCTGGCCTGTGTGGCTCAGTTTGTGAGGCATCAGCCTGCAAACTGAAAGGTTGTGGGTTCAATTCCCAGTCAGGGCACATGCTTGAGTGCCCCATTAGGGCACATGCAGGGGCCAACTGATCGATGTTTCTCTCCCTCCCTTCCCCTCTCTCTAGAATCAATAAAGGGAAAAAATTAAAAAAAAAAAAAGATATAGGACGTTTCTGCATGGGTCAATACTTTTTAAAAAACAACCCTATTTTCTAGAATTCTAGGCGGATGAGGCTAAGGAGCTAGGACGGAAGGCAGAGATCTGCTGAGATTTTTGTCTGCCGGCGGATGTATCCCAATGCTAGACATACAGTAGGTACCTGATATGTGTTGATTAAATGAGCAGAATGCTGCTTTCCTTTGTATAATGAGGTCACCTAAGAACTCGCTTTTTGATCCTCAAAATGGGATATTATAAGAAATGTAAGTGCCCCGCTAGCCCTCCTCTCTAACACCAGGTCAACTCGCCGTCCCGTGACCCATCTTTCCGTCTTTCTTACACATCTAGGCACCCACACAGGCAAACACCACAAACATGCTTGTTTTCACGGAACATACTCATTTCTCCTGACAGCATACAAAATCTCCCACATGTTAGATCAACCGCTGGAAAACTTAAGCTCAGAAAATGAGGGGAATGACTAGACACCCTTCCTCAGTGAAATGGCTCAGGGGGCGTCTTCCCACTAAACCTAGATCCATGCGCTTTGTGCAAGGGGCAGCCTCTACTTACTGTGCTTCTTCAGAAGACTCTTGTTTTATTTTTAATGTTCTCTTTGTGACAGGCATTTCATCTGAAAAGCAAAGATTTGGAAACATTATATTTTCCTCAGTGGTGGCATACATTTATGTAGATAAGTAGCTATGTGTTTGCTGTTCAATCCACTTTCTAATTTGAGGACTTAATTCTAGTTTCAAACACTGCCCAATGCCAGACTTATAAATATAACGCTTATATAATGAGATGCATACATTTCTATGCAAGATCAGAAACCAGCTCTACGAGTATAACATTCTTCAAGGTCACCAGCAGATTTCCAGCTAGGAGCTTAAAGCTTAATTTCACTGCAAACATGATTTTTAAAGGAACAAGAATGAAAGTAATTCTGTGCAATTTAGACTTCCTGTATAGGTTTTACGGAGCAATTACTTCCCCAGTATCAGGACCAACATGTTCTGTATGTTATTTTTGCCCAAAGATTTGGGAGACTGAACTTTCCACGGCCACACCAGAGTGCTGGGCGCCACAGCAATCCAAACCTCACTATTGTTTCGAAATTAAGAAGCAGTGATTGGCCCTTTTTATTCTTCCAGTCTTTAAGTCTCTCTCTTAAATTGTGTTGCCCTTACAGTTTTTATAGCCCCTTCTCTCTCTCCCCCTCTCTTCCAATATTTGAGAAATGAAAAAACAACAAAAATCCTGTTCTTGTCCAATTAGCATTTCTGGGTCACCCTGCGCTGGGGAAGCCACCAGTGCCCGTCCTGCCGCTTTCTGGGGGCTGCCTGAGCGCCTCGGGGTGGAGTGGCCGTGTCCCGGTGAGTGAGCACCCACCGCACCACTTGTGTGGAGATGCAGTGGCAGCAGCAGCCACCTGACTGGTATTTCCAGATCAGGAAAATCAAAATTGGAGCATTCACTACAGAAAGGAACGTACATATACTCTCGTATTAGGCCCCAGGAGCTCACAGATTTGATAGCCAGGGGTTGCACTTTCCCCCTGGAATGTTAAGACTGTAGATGCATCGTTCTGACTACTGTTGGGAGGGGATGCTTTATGAAGTCTGAAGCGATACGACTGCTGAGGAAGCTCCAGTATGTGCCGTTTTTAAGACAACCCGAGGCTGCCCCCACCTTTGTTCAGACTGGAGTCTGGGAGGGGACCGTTTCCAAATCTCCAATAGCAAGGAAAAAGAATCTGGGATAAAGGAAGGGAAAGGTGGTTACATCCACAGCAGCTGAGCCAGGAGTCAGAGTGGCTGCTGCTGCTGCTGCTGCTGCCCCCAAACCGAGAGGGGGCGGGACATGTAAAACTGCACAGGATTCTACCCCGAGCCACCTGGGGAGCTCAGGATGAGAAAGCGAGTCTGTGGTTAGGTTTGCGGGTGCCCAAACCACGCACGGTGTGGCCAATGCCAAGCACCAGCAGGCAGAGTAAACCTGAACCAAGGATGCCCCAAGCGCCCCAACTAAACTGGCTATATGTCTTGTGCTGAGTGGGAACGGTACCAGTCCCAGTGCACACAGAAAGACAGACAGACAGACAGGCACACACAAGTAGCAGACATGTCGCTTCCTTACCCAATTCCTGCTCTGTTGGGTAGCCATGGAGATCCTGACTGTGGTTTCCCCAGTCCTCCTGTGAATACTCCTCCATAGTGCTGCCATCTGACTCCAGCTCCTGGTACAAGCCACTACTGTTAATAAGTACAGGCTGGCAGGGCTGAGCATCCCATCCTCCCTGACCAAACACCTGTTCCAACTGTTCAAATGTGTAACTGCTCTTTCTTTTCCCAACACCATGTTCTTTCACCCGACTGTAACACCTGCGAAGGGTCTAAGACACAAAGTCTTTTGTTATTCCTTTAAAGCTGTACTTCCTCTTCAAGGTACGGACCACAGATATTAATTACTATTAGACAGACACAGACAGACAAACACAGACACATTGTTACAGGAATGCTAGATTTCAAATTCATTATTATATTAGAAAAAATACTAATTTAGCATTTACTCAAACATGTTATAATTCAAACAATTATTTTACAATTAATAATTCATTAAACAAGAACCATTACAACATTATTGCATGTACCCCATACACATATTTTATACCCCTCCCCCACTTAAAAAGAATAAGGGGGAAAAAAAAAAAGAAAACAAGAAATACCAGCCAGCCAATAGGATGCACACCTGCCACAGAAGAGAGAGAGCTGCTACTGTGCCGGAATTTGGGGAGAGTGAGGGAGGGAGGACAGAAAGAAGAATTGCCCAAAGCCAAGAGTAAAACCATCCTTACTCTTCACTAAGAAGGAATACAGGGTGAGAACATATGCCTGAGCGAAACGACTAGTGAAACATTTCTCACATAGTCCACATTCCTTACTAACTTCCTATGCCTTTGGGAAGTTGCTAAAATTTCAAAGAAGTCAAGTAAATAATGCTGCAGATTCCGAGTCTCAAGGATCGATGCTCAAGAAGCAATACACTACTAATGCCTACATCTAAAAAGAAGCCAAGCAGACCGCTCAAACTGCCGGCTAAAGAAACCAACAAATGTGGCCAATCATTTCTTTTCGGGGATGAAAGTGAGGTGCAGAGGTGTCATTTTACTTGTTTTTCTACCTTGTAGTGCACAGCAAATAAATATCACTAGGAAAGTCCACATACAACTTCGATTGTCTTCATGGTCTTCTAGGCCATGTTTCTCATTATTAGCCCAGCGTCCTTAGTTTAATAACACATCTTATGCTATCTCGTATGATATTGCGAAAGACGAATCAAGGACTTGGTCCCAGCTTCCAAATTTAGTTCAGTTGTATCCCCTCTTTGTCCCGTCTGTCCCTCCCGTTGTTCCTTCTGCTTTGCTGGGTTTCACTCTGAGAACTTCCTTGGGAAAAGAAGGCCCTTTTTGTCTGGGGGCTCCCACACACCTCCACAAGACCAGTTTGCCTCTGACTTCCCGTAGACGCCTTAGCCAGACTCTACGTTTCTCCTAGACGTGAGATTACTTCCATAAGCCAGTATGTTACCTGTTCTCCCCGCACTAACTCAAGAGTCCTTTACAGAGCCTCTGTGAAAATTCAGCATCTTTACATCACAGCCGACAAATGACGAGACACTGTCCGACACTTCCCTTGATGCCAGAAATCCACGCGGGCAAAGGGAACAATAAGAGCGGGACGCGGGTGAAGACACTGTCCTCCGACACCAACGGAGCAGTGACCGGTGCCACCTGCCCCTGGGCCCAGCCGGCCTGCCCCTGCAGAAGCGCCTTCCCCATTCTCCCTCTCAGCTCCCTCTGGTGCCTCCAGTGACGTCTTAAGGAGCTGGGGTCTCTCAAAATACACTCTTTAAAGGGGCTCCTTCCTTGTCTTTGTAGGAGAGTCACAAGTATACATACAAGACTTTCTAGAACAAATGAACTTGGGGAATGTGTCGTGGGCAGCCTTCGATGGAGGGAGACAGATGCCCGCCCTGGGGCTCAGCAGGCTCACTGCACACCCCGCCCCCCGTCCCAGTGCCCTCTGCCCTCCTGGCAGAGACTAGAATTGGAATTGCAAACATCTGCCCATTTATTTTTATCTCGCCATGTCTACTTGCTGCCTCCAAGAACACCCCAACCACTCTTTCCGACTCCTCCGGGGACCGTAAATGGAGAGGCCCGGCTGTGTCTCTGCTGCCCTTCCCAGGCCATACATGGAGATAAAGCCAAGCTCTGCTGACGGCCGCCTAGAGAAAAGCCTTCAGCAGCAAAGGGACCAGTCAGCTCTGTCACTGAGGTCACATCAATCCCAAGTCAGGAAATACAACTACTGGTCCCTTGAAGAAAGGTGCCTCCCTTATCAGGATGTGACTGGGCATAAACAAAGCCACAGACCTCTGACAATACAGTGGGGAACCACAGGAAAGATTTCCTTTCTCTAAACCACCAGAACCGAGTTTAAGTTTTCACTTGGTTTATGTAATTGTGAGTAAGAAAACGAGGGATATTGAATAGCTTTAGATAAGAAAGAAGAATCAAATGATATGCATTACATGTCTCACTCTGTAATGAACTTGGGTAACAGTCAATGTGCTGATACGTAAAATGTCTAGCACGGGTCTGAGGAAGAAATGTTTGGTAACCCTAAATTATTATGATAAAACTGGATGCATTAAAATACCGTTAGAAAGATTTCCAAACTGACGTTAATGTTCTCAAAACACAAATACACGTGAGGCAAAGACCAGAGCCAAGGAAAGGCTGCCTAAACAGGACACATTACCTAAAGTAGGATAAGAAGTAAGAACTTGACCTTGAGAAGAAACACTGGGATTCAGTTGAACTTGAGGGATTTTAGGAATGGATAAAAAGGACATATGTGGACCTTCCAATTCTTATCATCAGACAAGTTCTTATCACCTTCCACGCTCAAAATGACTCACCGAAGCACACACTTCAGCCACTGTGTGTCTGTGTACCAACAGTCCTAAATAAACCAACTTAAAAATGCACTCTAAATTGGAAATCCAGACAATGCTCCCGAACCCAGGAGAAATGAGTCTCGCCTCCCACTGCAGGCAGCTGCACCACGCCCAGCAGGGACCTCAGTGTCGCTTTTCCTGGAGGACCACGTCCTACTTCCTGCTCAGCACAAAGGCCTCTCTCCCTTCCTTCTTCCTTTACCTGACTTACCTCAGAAATGTACAGTACTTCACGCTCTAGCATTCAAAAAAATCAAAAACAAAAACAACTAAGATCTCAGGGGAGAAAGAATTTGCTTAAAATTATTAAAGACTATTCTATTCACAACTAAGAAGGACTTTCCGTATTGTTAGAAATTTCTGTGGTGAAACAAGGGGACTGCCTCCTCCCAGGGGTAGCTGGGGGAGGGACTGTACCTGGAATGAGGTCACCTGGACAGAGGGCAGGGGAGTCAAGAAAATCTGGACAGAGAAACTCAAGTGTCAGTAATGACTTGATCAGCAGGTCAAATCAGGAGGTCACGTGGATGCGATGGGGAAGAAGTGCCAGGCGAATGCCGACTACACCCACCGCGCCAGATGTCCACTGGAAACACCAGGAAAGAGGCCGTGAGAAGACCCGAGGGTGCCCATTGCCAAAGCGGGGGGGAAGTAAGATGGCTAACAGCTGACACTGTATAGACAGAGGGAAAGTTTGCCAAAGAGCAAGATTAGAGTGCAGAGAGATGAGAGAATAAAGATGACATTCACTGTGGATGAGTGTGAGGGGAGTCTACAGGGGTGGGGAGGGGGCAGGTGAACGGAGGCAGGGACTGGAGAGGGGCAGGATGGGGTTGGACAGCAGCGATGCAGAGAAAGACCCAGGGTCACAGCACACGTAACATCGAATACAGTGCACGATGCAGCTATCTTGCCAAAGTAAGTACATCCAGCATTGGGTTGTGTAAGCAGAGGAATCACATGTAAGCTATGAAGGTGGCTCTTCCTCTCTATTCAGCACCGGTGAGGCCACAGCTGGAGCACAGCATTCAGTTCTGGGCATCGAACCAGCTACAAGAGAGGGAAATTGTAGAGTTCAGAAAAGGGCAAATAATATAATGAAAGGCTTGGAAAATAAGATCTGTAAGTAGGGCCAGTGGTTTCATCAAAGCCCTTTCTGACATTACACAGGCTACTTTTGGGGTATAAACAATGTTTCTTTTGCCTGGTGTCCTCCAATCCCTCCTGTGACCATCAGGAAGTGGGAAGAGCGGCTCCTTCTGTGGTGCGGCAGGGGAGGACGCCAGCTGAGCAAACCTACCAGCACCTGCCAATCATTCTGCTGCGGGCTCAGTCCTTATCTCTGACTTTACCCCATTTTGTTCCACAGTGAGCACTGTGACAAAACCACTGTTCTAGCAGAGCCGACTGCGGGTGGGACAGGGTACATGACGAGGAGGAGCAGTAATCAGGCATAACAGCTACACAAATGTTGTGTAGAAAACGTTCTTTGGAATGGTCCGTCTAGGGTGTCAGATGAAACATTAAGTCCAACTGCAGGGAGGACAGCGGTTATAATAGCAGGAAACAATGTTATAAGAAAGCACAGGCAGTGAAACACTTTCAAACACAGCCGCTAAACTGGCCATACTAGAAATGGATTACATAGCTTATTTTAACATTCTGCCAACTAGCTGTAACAAATTTGATATTATTTTTGAGCCTAATGATTAAATAGAGAATATACTTGTTTGCGAATGAAGTCTAAAAATCACATAGTATATTCCACGAGAGACAAGGGAAATTACGCCGGGGCGTATCCCCAGTGATCCATTGTAAAAGTGTTGAAAAGAACGCCTCAGCCTAAGCAGATGTGTATTTTGAAGCAGAAAAAGCCTTTGTGAGACCGATCTTCTTCCTTTAAACTTAATTACTGCTTTATTGCAGCTGTTACTGGCTGCTCGGTTAACTGAGGTAACAAAACAACAGTGAGTTCATTCAGTAGCTTTAAGAAAGACTCAAGATTTCTTCAATTAGCTTTATTTTCTGTGAGCACAAAGGTGGAAAGAAAAACCCTGAAATATACGCATTTCTGCAGGCAGCAAGAGGGGTGTATTAGGGATACAGTATAAACTTCTATATCTCTCTAGCTACCTACCTACCTACCTACCTATCAAGATGTAAGTAACGAATAGGATGTGGTCTAAGGCAAACATCCATCTGGGGCCAGCAAAACTTTTACATATTTTCTTAGGTTTTCTATCCATCAAAGTTTGACAAATTGACTTGCCAGTCACCTACATCCTTTAAAACCAACCAAATATTTTGGGTTAAAAACCTGTGCTCTGTACCATTTGGTTGTTTATTTCATAAAAGAATATAACAGGCAGTAGTCAGAAACCCTGAAATGAGGTAGACTTCATTCAAGTCTCAGGTTTTATAAGAGAGTCTGAGGACTGGGACATCCGGTTTAAGCATAATGTATCCAGTTTACTCACTATTCTGTCCGTGTAGCTAAAGCACCATTAATATTTCCTTCAAGAGGTAAATTAGCCAAATTCCCATTTCTTGAAAGAAGCATTCAAGGCTATCAACTTACTCTTTACAAAATTTGGCACTTTCTTCTGTTTTGTGGGAAAGAAAGCTTTTTCAGAAGCGGCAAATAAGCAACATTAACTGTTTCAGCAGCTATGAGGATCATCTGCTCCAACTGTATCACGCAGCACTTGGTCCTTCATCACGTGATGAACATCCACACCGGTGCTAGGTAAATCTCCCACGGCAACAACTCAAAACAGGGAGACCCTCGGACCCAGAAACAAGAGTGCACGGGAAAGTCAGTCTTCACTCTTTCCTTCCTTCGTAGTCACAGTGGCTGCGAGTCAACATCTTCCCATTTTAACACGAAAGGGTCTCCATGGAACAGGCAATGTCTACACTTACTCGATCCTTAACCCGGTGGGATCAAAGTCTAGTCTACCCTTCCACTGAAACTGTTCGTATTATGGTCAGCACTGTCTTCTTAAATGGCCCTCCATCTCTGTCCTGCACTCATCTGAGTGTCCTGCAGCATTTGCTACTCTTCATTACCGACCTGTGTCACTAACCGGGCCAAATATCTCTTATAAAACTTTCTGTAATACACGGATAGACAGGCGGCAGGTGGAGCTGCCTAAGGCTCTAACAGCAAACCAGGTTCCAGCTTCCAAAATATGGAAGTTCAGAATGGAAAAGAACTTGGAGATCAGCTGGTCCAACTTCTCCAACTCAACAAAAGAGGAGCCAAGGCCCCAAGACAAATACGCATTCCTTCAAAAGGAATCTGGCATATAAAAATGACCAAATACCACCCACGAAATGCTGCTGAGAAAGCAATGCTAGACTGTGCACTCCCTGAGGTGGGTCCCGCCTGCCTTGTTCACCCTTTCCCTACGCCTGGAATAGGGCCTATTGTGTAAAGGCGGCTCGATATATTTTTAAGTTGATGAGTCAATGTAATTTAAAAAATATTTTATTTATTTACTTTAGAGAGGGGGAAGAGAGGGAGAGAAACATTGATGTGTGATGTGTGAGAGAAACATCATCGCCTGGTTGCCTCTCACGCCCCACGCCCCCAACCAGGGGACCTGGCCTGCATGTGTCCTGACCGGGAATGGAACCAGCAACCTTCTGGTTTGCGGGACAATGGCCAACCCACTAAGCAACACCACTCAGAGCAAATTAACTAACTTTAAAACAGTAAATCACTTAGCAAGAAGATGGCATTTTTCTTAGCAAAGAAAATCAGGAAACTTGTTTAGCCACTACAGTATATTTATAAAATCAATAAATCCAAGTGGGTAGAGTTCCTAAGATCTTCTGGAAATAGCAGGAGCAGAAAAGGGAATAAAACATAGATACAGCTATAATTAACAAAAAGAAATTAATTTCTCTGTAACAAAGGAAGACTAATTGCAGAGGTCAAGGCTGTTTTAAAAATATCTACCATTCTTGTTATATTCTTCTTTGGACAGGGAAGGGGGACTGTCAAATGAAGTTCTGCAGCCTCGTCCAAACTTCATCATTTCTTATGCCTTACACACTAAATATTACAAAACACAAAGTAGTCCTGTCAAAGACAGAAAAAGACTGCAGTTGTTTCCTGGATTTTAACAGGGCCAAACTGGGTCTTACCTCCTGGAGGCCTGGACTCTGTGGGGAACTAACTGTGCAGGACGGAATTCTACCAGCTTGTACTTCCTCCCAAACCTGGCTGTTGGCGACTCATTTTTACGTCTGTAACTGGTCAGTACCGTCTTCGAGAGGGAGAGATTTTTGTACAGAATAATTCAGAAAATTTGGATTTTCTGGGTTCCTCCGTGCTAGCAGCTGAGGGTCTCTTGCCTTGAGGGGGACAATACTGATTGTGCAAAACAAACATCTTCTGTTGCTCAAGGCACTATACTCACGTGGCCACAAGCATCTCACCTTACACTGTGGGTGAATCACAGAGAACTCGCACACAGCTCACACTGGCAGCAACACTACAAAACCCATACCTAATATGCGTGGTTATGTTTATGGGTTTCTTTGGGACACAAGAATCCTTCCAGACATGGAATCAAGTGCTTTTCTATTCAGAACAAGACAGGTCAAAAAATTAGGCTATACCAAACCAAACCATTTCAGACACAGGCAGCAACAGGTGGTGACAGTCATCCAAGACAGTCAGACAACACTGCCTAGAGAACTTCCTCCCCGTAAAAGGGGGGAAAGCCAGTTATTTGGTAAAGGACTGACTTGCATTAGAGGTTATTTTCGCCTGACCTATGTCGCCTCTGAAGTTGCTCCATTAGCATCTCTGTTGAATTCTCTTCTCGCCACTTCACATCCTGGGGCACCACCTCAAAGCGGTATTCAGATGGTATTAAAAATGTTAGCTTTTTATGGGCAAGAGGGGTGGGCTGGGTGGAGCAAGGTAAAAAGGAAACGATTGGGACAACTATAATAGAATAGACAATAAAAATTTATTTATTTATTTTAAAGTAGAAAAACGGTTAATTTTTATACCCTGACTCATGTAGCTCAACTGGTTGTGTTGTCCTGCAAAGCAAAACGTCACTGGTTCAATCCCCAGTCAGGGCACGTGCCTGAGTTGTGAGCCACTCGATGTTTCTCTCCCTCACTTTCTCCCTCCCTTCTCCTCTAAGAATAAATATAGAAAATCTTAAATTTTTAAAAGATGTTAACTTTTACAAGTATGTGATAACAGAAAAACACATTCAAGAGAATTATCTAAAATATTTCTAGGATAGCAGACAAGAACCACTGATTTGTGAAGGCCTCCCATACAAACACCCGGCATTAGGCACCAACTGTTCCATAATCGCCCACGTCTAAAAATTAAGACTTGCACATATATGTGCACATGCACAAAAATCACAAAAACCTCATGCAGCTATATCAGCACAACAGTATTCGTATTGTACTGTACTGTCCTGCACTGCTTCCCAACCACAATGGGGTTTCCATTCCTGAGACCAGCGTTTAAAGGGGAAATGGTGCAGAGCAAGTCCTCCCGCCGCCCCAGTAGAGGCTACTCTATTCTTTCATATGCTCATGATGTCGTTCTCCCAGTTTTGTAGATATTTTCTTATTGGTGTGGATCCCAAGAAAGAAGATACCTACGAAGAAGGGCTCCTAGTGGTTAACGTGGCTTAAGTGTTAAATCACAGTGCCTGGCAGCCATTTCTGCACAGGGGCCTCTCCCAAACTGCACTTCAGGGGGACGCCTGCGCTTAGCTGCCCGCCTCTGCACCAGACCTCTGCCTGCGCTGTTTCTGGCACTTGAGTCGGCCCTTCCAAAGGAGTTCCTGGAATCTTATTCCAAACAATAGGACTGAGACTTTCCCCATCTGATTGGAGATAAGCAGCTATGTCCCCATCAGCTTCCTCTCTAAACAACAAGTAGGCTCCATTCTGACCTACCAACACAGTGCCCCCTGGGACCAATCAAACTGTGAGGATTTGGAGCCCTAATTTGCATGAGGGCAGGCAAATCAGGGACCAGGGGCAGGGACTTCTGGAGCTGA